GAGGCTGCAAAACTTTCAGCAATTCAAGATCTCTCCAGTCACAGCCCTCTCCCGTTATCCAAAGGGTGCTTGGAAACAAACTGTACCCCGTGTCCATGCTTTGCAGAGCAGTTCTGCTATAATTAATTGTTAGATCGTCTTGAGGGTGTAAAACCTGTTGCCTCATTGCCTGAAGATTTTGCCTTCTAGGTGTCCTGTATTTGCACTGCTTCTATATAAAGAGACCAGAGCGTAACAAATCAGTGGACCCCATTTGGTTTCTCCATTTAACTTTTGGAATCTGGTGATGAGTTTTGCCATGTGCGTTGCACGCGCCTGTAGGAAAGACGTACAAGTGATCAACTAGAACTTAATCTATATATTTTGTTGCTGCCTATTGAGCTGGTATAGTTGTGGGAGAAGAGAAATGCTCTTCAGTGCTTCCAAACAGCAGGCAGATTAGATGGGACTAAGGTTTAACTATCCTGATTGTGACTACCCAGAACAAAGTTTGTAATATTTTGGCAACCAAAATGGTTTACACTGGGGGGGGGAAATGTTCTTTCTTAAATGCACCAAGTACTCCACTGTGCAATCTAGTAGATGGAGAGGACGCCACATCCCTACCGATGACCTAATTTTCACAGTTGTTTAGCCCCCACACGCGCACACACCAGCTTGGAGGTTGCGTGTTACTGAAATATGTCCTTCAAAGCCTTGCTGTGGCGTTCTGTTGCTGGATCATGTGAAAATAGTCACCCCCTCCGCCAGCCTTGACAACCTCTCTGTTATCATGAGGTTCCTCCTTATCTGAATTCATACAGTGCTCTCTTTGTTCCATCTCTGCTTAAAAGACAAGCTGCACCTATTGTGTTCAGCCCAGTAATCTAAAAGTTTACAAAGGAAAGAGGCATTTCTGGTGGTGGAAAGTGTAAAACAGTTGGGAAAGGGAGGGTTTTCTTCCAAAAGTGGAATAACATTTCTAAACCTTGGTTGGGGTGAAGACTGGCCTGATCAGATCAGGGGAAGTTTGGGCTAATGGTTAGGACTTGATTTTCCGTCTTGGAAGACCTTGGGTGCAGGCAGCGTCTGCTCTGCCACAGACTTCCTGTTGGACCAAGGGCAAAGCACTCGGTCTCTTAGTGCAGTGGTGTTCTCCCCATAACACAGGTGCGGAGACTAAGGCACAGGCTCGCAACTTTTGTGAGAACAAATCCTTTAGAGATTTTGAGGTGCTGAAATGCCCTGGTAAAAGGGGCTGTATAAGTACTAACCATAGCTGCATACTGATGAAATGTAGTGACATCTGATAGGAGGCAGAGCCCAGAGGATTAGACCTTCCAATAACGGCTTAGACAGTGCGAGCTCTGTTTCAAAAAATGGACTGTTTAACCTGATGTTGAACCAGGCTGCGACTGTTTTACAGTCTTTATAGAGTGGGAGTCGACCTCTAACGATAGGTTATGTGACCACGCCATTGAGCAAGGTGACTGCTTTGAATAGGCTCAGGACCGTTAATCGCAGCTAAAAGCCTATATATAATGTGCCTTGTCTCACCGCTGATTCCTGAAGACCCGTGCTGCTTACACTCTGGATTTGGAGCATTGAATTGAGTCAAACCAGTGACTCTGCTCTTTTGTACTATTGGAGAGGCTCCAGCCATGATTGCAGCCCCCTTTTTGCTGGGCATAAAGACACCTAATAAGAGACATATCTGTCCTGTAGAGCTGTGATCTCAACAGAGAAGAGAAACAGAAGCACTAAGAAGCGAGGTGACACTCGAGGGCTGTAGCCACTACTTGGCCTTGCCTGTCTCAGCACAGTTGCCTCCTTTTCAGTGAGGACAATTCATGCTGGAATAGGCAGAAGCATCTGCATTTCAAACCATACCAGGAGAGAATTAAAAACCACAGACTGGCTGCGTTCTGGCAGCAGTGCTAGTAACCCGAGCAGCAACAACGCCCCTCTTAACTTCTCTAAAATGGATGGGTGCCGCCTGATTTCTGATGGGGGCGGGGGGAGAGAAGCAAGCCCCCACCATGGCATGTCTCTCTCCTGACCCTGCCCATTGCTCTGTGTGTCTAGCTGCACCATCCCATGGGTAAACGATGCCTTCCCATAATTAACCTTTTTCTTTCATAAAAAGTGCTTGCCTCGGCAATCTGTCAGGCATTCAATATTTGCAGTTTAAAACAAGCAGACTGCAACAGTGGCAGCTGCCAGTGATTCAAAGGACCACCTTCTAGGAAACCCCCGTGGGGAGTTGTCTGTGTTGCAGAGTTTGCATGCTAAGGAAGCCCCATTTTTATTTTTTAAAAAAGCAAGTTCAGAGGAACTTTAGTTCTCTCCTGGTTCTCTCTTAACTAACGAGATAATTCTCCCAACACCTTTATGATGTGGCGAAGCATTAAACATGCAGAATCCAAGATCAGCACTTAATCTAAATCATATGGCTTTGTCACCGGATATGGTAGATCATTGGCAGGCAGACCCCCAGGTCCCTGCCCGGAAGGACTTGCCTCCCAAAGTCCTGATGGAAGGTAACTAGAACAAATCGGATTTTAATACGCAGAGTAGCATGCATCTGTCACCAGGCTGGCAGTAGGTAGAGTCAAGTGGAAGCACTTGTTCATGAATGCTCTTTGGTCTCATTGCAATCTGCAGGACTTCCTTGAGCCTTTGCAGGACCAGACCCTCCATCCCTCTATGCCTATGTGCTTGTACGGGTGCATAAACTCGGACAATGTTTGAGATCGCAACTGGGTGCGGTGAAGCTAAACTCGCTGATAATTCTGCATGTCCTCTGAAGTCCCTGGGTGGAGGCACTGCCTTAGAGTCCCATTGTACATAAGGGGCCAACAGAGGCGTGATGGATTGAGTGACTCTCCTTAAGTCAATTAGCAGGTCACAATTTTAGAGCCTCGCTACAGGGCTGTGATCAAAGCCACTTAAGTAGGATGCAGGTAATTGCAAGAGAGCCTCTAATGGGAATCTCTGTGAGGCGATTCTTCCTCTCTGTAAATGAAGCGAATGCTTCATCACTTTGTCAGGGTGCCTGTAATTGCTGCAACCGCTTTGTTGGGAAGGGTCTCTCTTTTTTTTTTTGTCTAATTAAGCTGTCAATAGCAATCAGAGGTGTTAATGTGACTCCTGAATGTCACCAGCTCTTTCTCTCCTCCTGTCTCATGTTGACAATCAAGGAAAATCCCATCCGGCCTCCTGTATCCATCTGAGTTTTTGGAGGCTGGGGGTAAACCATGGAAGCTGCGTTGGCTTTATACAGTTATAAGTACATGAAATACAACCTGGCACTGCTGAATGAAGCAAGTTGCCTGAAAAGTGATGACAGCCCCAATTTTTGGATGGTCTGGGCTAATGCAGACAGAGCTAGGTCACCAGCGATTCACCTGCTAAACAGTTGATGCAAAATATCATTTGAAGTGATGATCTTAATGAATGTATTGCTGCCTCTTGTGGTTTTTTTTGGGGGGGGTTATTAAAACTGTCTGTTCTTTGCAGCTGCTTACCGTAATCTGGGCCAGAACTTGTGGGGGCCGCACAGGTATGGGTGTCTCTCAGGGATTCAGGTACGGACCGTGGTTTCGGGACCATGCGCGGCTCACAGTCTCCTCATCACCACAGAGGGCAAGCTGTGGAGCTGGGGTGAGTAGCCGGCACAAGCGAGGCTTTTTGAGTCTCTACCGGGATGTGAATTAGCTCAAGACACCAGGTAGCAAGGACAAGGAGCTCAGTGGGCTCCTGCCTGGGTCTGCATTGGAGCGCGGTCCTAAGGTGATAGGTTTTCACAGAAGTGATGAAAACGTAAATCATTGCAAATTAGTTCCCAGCACGCTCTATGGCTTTTGCCCTAGTTCTGACGGGACGCATGGAACTAATTTGTGTGTCCCCATGCCAAGTCAGCTAATCTCTTTTGATTTCTCTTAGGAGAACCATATGTAGCATGGGGTCCCAGGAGCCAAAACAGAACTGGGTAGTGTGGAGTGGTCTGTCACAAAGACGTTTCAGTGCTTCTGTTATAGGCTGTGAATCGGACGGATTATCCTTCTGATGTTAGGCCAGTGTTTCTCACCCTCTTCCATATTGTGGCTCTCATGTTACAGCTGAAAAGTTTCAGGGCCATTCTCATTTACTGAAGAATAAAAGACACTCGCAGCCCTCTGGAGCTGTTCCAGTCCCCAATGGTGGTACCTATGCAATAGTTACCATCAACCTGCAAAAGTGGTTTCCACTAGTGCGAGGCCTGGAAGGAACAAATCTTGTATCTCAGCATTACAGAGAAAGCAATAGGGGAAATGAAGGGGTTTGACAGCCTCGGCAGCAGTTTCTTCTTTTTTAGATCGGAGGGCATCACCTATTTACCTGTGGCACGTGTGTGTGTGTGTGCTTCTCTGTAGGGCGTAATGAGAAAGGGCAGCTGGGACACGGAGATACCAAGAGAGTGGATGCTCCCAAACTCATCGAAGTTCTCAGCAGCGAGGTGATTGTGTTGGCAGCTTGTGGACGAAACCACACGCTCGCTCTGACGGGTATGGAAGATGCTTGGAAAGAGAAACTGGTGTTTGAATGATTGCTTTCTCCCTTGCAGAGTTGGGCAGGGAACCTGCACATCAGAGATCCTGCTTCTAGCTGGGGAAAGACGGGACTTTAATCTACTGTTCGGGTCACACAGAGTTTTTCTTTTGTTGACAAATCCTGGCCTCGCTGAAGTCCGTGGGAGCTTTGTCTCACAGGGGTCAGAATTTCACCCTTGCTCTTTTTGAGGCTAAGAACAACTGATATTTTGCCCCTGGAGGGTGGAGAATGCCTTGGCTTTTAAAGATGTGCTTGGACAACCATTGATTCGAAGGGAGTCCTTGACCAAAGGTGAAAAGGGAAATCTTAAAGGAAATGTTTGCCACCCATGATTCCCCTCTCTTCCACCACTTCTGAAGCACTCGTGACTGGCACAGAGAGGATGATTTTGGCTATTGTTGTTTAGAGGGTCAGAAATGGCCACCAGTGCATATCCACATCTTGAGACCATGTCTTGGGTAACTATGCCACAAAATGTTGATTATGCCACCAGTTTGCTAATTGCTTTTTCTGTCATGGTCACTTCCTCCTGAACTGTTTGATGTGGGGAGTGTTAAAACACTTATTTGCAATAGACTTTTTTTTCTTGTGGCCTGGTGTATTAGAACAAGCATCTCTCTCCTGTGTTAATGATTTTTTTTTTCCAGCACCTCTGTAATAAGTGAGCTGTAACCTTTTCCCTTCTTCACTACCTCTCCCGTTGTGTTCCAGAGACTGGCTCGGTATTTGCATTTGGAGAGAACAAGATGGGACAGCTTGGCCTTGGTAACCAGACAGATGCAGTTCCCAGCCCTACTCAGGTAAGTGTGACCCTTTCCTCTTGCAAAAAGGGCAGAGAGACATTTATTTAGCTACTGCACAAGTTGTCATGTTGGGGCCATATCTAGCATAGCCGTGTTAAAGCCAAGCTCAGGATGAGATCCTTTGCATGGTGGAAAGCAACTGTAGTCCTTGTCGGTCAAGTGAGCGAGGACTGTCCCAGTTCAGCGGATACTTTGATCCCCATTATAGCATCTTATGTGAACTTTTGGGTCTTCACAAGCCCTTAGGCAGGTTCTTAAATTCCCATAGCTCAGGGTCAAAAACAAGGGCTGAAGCAGTTGGTTGTCATCTGAACCATTTCTGTTGGTTTTCTACTGACAAAACGGACAAGGGGTTCCCAATGCCAACCTGGATATCAAATAAAATTGACCTTGGCATTAGTCAGCGTTTAGCATTTGGTTCCCTTATAGGCTCGTGGTGGGAACAACAGGAGCAATGAGGTAGTAAAAGATTTCCTTGGCGCCTGAAGCAGACAAAGGAAGGGAGGGGAAGTGGAAGTTTGTCCTGGAAGCAGTCAGGGGAGAAGTCTTAGCTTCTCTCTTCATCTCCTTCCTTTATGTATTTTTTGGTTTCTTATTGAATTGACTATTTCTAGCTATTTCTTTTTTTTTTTTTTTCTTTTGTTCCCCAATCTTAGGGCATATTAAGATAGGGAATTTTTCAGCTAGGCTCACAGAGTTATGCATGCCAGACTGCTGCTGTGTTTGTGCAAATAGTGCTCAACAGAGACACCCATGCACAATTAAGTGCACGTTTCTCACGCAACCTCTGGCCTTACACTCCTCATGCTCCAGGGAAATCTATCTAATGCCTCTAAAAATTGAACTTGGGACCAAAATTTCATAAGCTAGAAACCAAGGACTGACACGGATATTGGTTTTATGGCTCATTATAAACCTCCCTGATCCCTGAATTCTCCCCACACAGAAAGGTCTTTTCTCACCTTTCATCCCTTTTCACAGGCCCTGATTTCCCAGTAACCAGGTTCTTGTCTGCTAATTGGTGGTGTGTTACCCCTGGGGATTTCTCTCCCCACCCTCTTCTAGCGGTTTTTTACTGCGCTGTGTTGGCTGTCACTGCTTAGAGCTGAAGAGTGCCTTGCATTTGAAAGGTTGTCTGACTATCCCAGTTGTAGGGTTCATCCAATAAAAGCTAACCCCTGAAGAAATCCTTGCTCTTGCATAAAGCATCCAGGTAATTTTGTAGGCGGTAGGGGATTTACATGTGCATGTCTAAAAGCAGCTGTGTTCCCTGTGAAAGCTTAGCCACGCATTTGCCCTGTGAGCTGGGCAGTGTTCCCCGGCCGTCTGGAATCGCACAAGGGTCGCTCTGTTTCATCCTCTATTTTCAAATGCTGCTCTTGTCTCCTTCCCTTGCAGATAATGTACAACGGGCAGCCAATTACCAAAATGGCCTGTGGGGCTGAATTCAGCATGATAATGGACTGCAAAGGAAACCTCTATTCCTTTGGGTGCCCTGAATATGGACAGCTGGGTATGGTGGTATATTTTTAAAGGTCTATGTAGTTTTAATGTGACAGCAGGCTTTAAATCCAGCCCGAGGCTGCTACCAGGTTCATCGTAGACTGGTGCGTTGGTGTAATCAAGGCTATAATGGTAATACGCATCTTATCTCCATCCCCGTCCAGGAGGGGAAGATGGTCTGATGTTAAAAGCAGAGGAATCTGGCTTCAAAACTCTGCTCTGTTGCATGAGCTGCAGGGGAGGCTGTGCCTCAGTTTCTCCCTCTGCGGCTTGTGAGTGCTTCCTCGGTGGTGCAGTGTATCGGTGGCCGTGAAGTGCTCTGGGGTTGTTGGGTTTTTCTGAGCTGAAAGGGGCAGAGAAATCCAACACTGTAGCAATAAAATGGAAGGGAAAGCCGCTGTCCCTTGAGTGTCCATAAACACTCGGCATTTTGAATGCTAGAATGCGTAATACGCTGCCTGCCAGTTTTCTGTGGCTCTGACAATGATGCGCCACTGTGAATCCCAGCAGTGCCTTGAATTATTCATGAATGGCACTTTGTCTCGGAGGTTAATGTCTCGTGGCTGTGATCTCTGGAACAGGGAGTGCGTGCGCTTTGCTGTCACGGAGGCTTTTTGCACAGGCTGAGCTGCTGCTGGGGTGTCTGCGTGTTTGGAGGGTGGCGAAGGAAGGCAGGGAGCCAGCCTGGCAGGTTTGCGTCGGGAAGCGCAGCTTGCATGGGTCAGACTGCAGGATGCCTTTTAGGGAGAGCGGACTGAAAAAGGGTGAAATACTTTTGCCAGGAAAAGGTATTACAAAAATATTTGTTTTCCTTGCAAAAGCATGAAAAGAGTAGGGGTGGAGGCTCTCCAGAATGGCGCATAAGGAGAATCCTTCTTCTCCTTCCTTTGCACTTCCCTTTTAGTTAGAATAGCATCTGCCTTCTGTTCGGTATTTAGACAGCACCCAGTACGATGGGACTGCAGTTTGTGAATGGAGCTCTCTGGCCATTGGCACTACCACTGCACGAAAGACGGCACAGGTTGCATGTGACAAGCATGGCAAGCTTTGCTCTTCAAGAGGGGTATACGCTCTGACTCGAACAAGCTTACTGATTTGGGATGGGTATGGTCATCGCTTGTGCGCTCTGCCGGTGGGGTAGTATTAGTTCCACTCAGAATTGCATCCCTTTTTAGCATCCTATCCGTTTCCCCTGTTGCAGGGCACAACTCCGACGGGAAGTTCATCGCCCGCGCTCAGAGGATAGAGTACGACTGCGAGCTGGTGCCGCGGCGCGTCGCCATCTTCATTGAGAAGACAAAAGACGGGCAGATCCTTCCTGTCCCCAACGTGGTCGTGCGAGATGTCGCTTGTGGCGCCAACCACACAGTAAGGCTGAGATTCATTCAGACCCTCTGTAGCACAACCAGGGGGTCTACCTGTAGTCCTGGCCATTGATGGCCCTCAAGCGCCTGCTGGGTCTTGACTTGATGAGCTCCCTCTCGACTTGCTGTGTAGTTAAACTGCCCTGAGTGGCTGGCAGTCAGGTGGCCTCTCTTACAAACGAGACTTTACACGTGCTGGAGTCTCATTAGTGACAGAGGCACACTGAAAAGTTCTCTGGTCCCAGGTATCCAGGTTGTAGCTGTATTGGTCTAGATGAAAAAGCAATTAGGACTCTTAGTAGAGAGATCTTTTATTAGACTGGCAACGTTTTTGCAAAAAAAAAAATCTTTCATTGCAAGCTTTCAGGCACAAACACCCTTCGTCGGGCATTGGAGAAAAGATTGTAAAAGTTCTCCTGGGTAGAAATGAAAGTTCATATTTCGTAGGATTTTGCAAAGGAGTCAAGGGATGGAAAACGCCTCTGGGCAGTCCGTTCATAGCTGGTGTGAAGTCTCTCACCTTCTGTGATGATGCAAATTCCCTTGAAACAAAGGCAGGGGCAGCGTCTCAGGTTTCAGGTTGTCACAGTTGCTTCCCTCTCTCTGGTCCCAGGAGTTCAAGGGGTTTAGGCTGCAGAATTCAGTTTGTCCCCAACTCTAAAAAGAAGGGATAAATGGGTTTTAAATGGATCTGATTTTACTTATTTCCATCAGTCTAGACGGAAAGTCCCTCCACTCTAGCCAGTAATCACACGAGGCTGTACGCTGTTTGAAAGCCTGGAGAACATATTGCAGAGGGTTGAGCATAAGACTCATGATGCCCATTGAAACTTTCCAAGGGACAATTGCATTCAGCAACTTTTTTTTAAATTTGTTTCAGACTTGGGTATTTCATTTGGCAGCAGGCTGGGGAAAGTCACAGATCATCAGCTGCCACAGGCCTGCGATAGCCGCAGCCGTGTTCATCTTCTGTATCTCCCTGCTGTGCTTAGGTGTCGCATCCAGTATGTGTGTGATCACATTAGGACTCTTTATTTGCACTAGGTGTGTCCTAATCCCATTGGATTAAACCATTAAAATGAAGGTTTTGAAATCCATCATCATGGATGCAAGCAAAACCCTTCACTCCCAGATGACTGATCCTACAGGCAGGGGCAGCAGGGATTATAAAGCACATCATGGAAGGAAATGCATGTGGCCCACAGGATGCTAGCAGAGTAATAGCCTCTCTTCCAGTTACTGGTAATGAGGTGTTTCTTCTGACTGCTGCTGCCCTGTGACTTAACTCCCTTAGTTTTGGAGGTCAAGTCCTGCAAAGCAGCTGTATTGTTGTGGAAATGCACCACACAGGGGCCTGGTAGGACTCACTGCTGCGAATGCCAGGCACTGCCTCTCTCTGCATGGATTAGCATCAAGGCCTGGGAAGGAACCCTTTGGGGGGGGTGGGAGTTCCCTCCTGCCATTTTTAATCAATATTGAAGTATGAAGTTGACTGAATTACCAGGCTGCCTTGAGCCGGAGCCCTTTTTGCTTCTGGCTTTATTGCTGTGGCAGGGGGGGAGAGAAGATATGCAACTTCACAGTTAAGATAAGAGTGGCAGAATGGGCTGGCAGGAAAAAATGAGTTGAATTGTCTTTTTAATGCACCATCTCAGCGGATCTGTAATAAGCGTCAGTTGATTTCTGTGCCTCGGATACTCCTTCGATCCGTAGGGCAGGACTAATGATCCGTTCCATGAGCACCGGGGATTCCTCTTCCTCTGCCTTTTAACTCAAAACCGTGTTGCCCTCTCTTCCACCCACAGCTTGTTTTAGACTCCCAGAAGCGCGTCTTCTCCTGGGGCTTTGGTGGGTATGGCCGGCTGGGCCATGCCGAGCAGAAGGATGAGATGGTGCCAAGGCTGGTCAAGCTCTTCGACTTCCCAGGGCGTGGGGCAGCTCAGATCTACGCTGGATATACCTGCTCCTTTGCTGTCAGCGAAACAGGTCAGTTGAGCTGTCTTGGTGCTAAGACCCTCCTGGCATGAAGCTGTAATTCAGCCCAAAGCCTCTTATCTATTTGGGATCCACCTCTCAGTAGCAAGTGTTGAGAACTCACCTGCATTTTCCCAGTATCTTTAAAACAACTTGGAGTATGTTAACCAGCCCGGTCTGCCTCATCTCTACAGATCTAAGCTGTTGACTTTCATAAACCATCTCTTATTTTCTATCATATCCTTGAACGGTGATTCAAAAAGCCTTCTGCGTTGGAGTCTCTCAAGTCTGACGTGGGTGCATGTGTTTGCTCTGTCTTGCAGGTGGCCTCTTTTTCTGGGGGGCCACAAACACATCCCGCGAGTCGACCATGTACCCCAAAGCTGTGCAAGATCTCTGTGGCTGGAAAATCCGCAGCTTGGCCTGTGGGTAAGTGACAGCTCCTGTTTTAGGAGCCAGGGGGACAACGAAACCGTCTCTTCTTTGGCTTGCCTGGATGGTATTAGCAGTGGTGTCGTTGCACACATCTCCACGTTCAAAGGGCCCTGCCAATAGGACAGTGGCCTGTTGCTCACCTGGCGTGTATGAAACAGCTGCTAGAATGAGACTAGCCTACAGAAAGTTGAGTCGGTCATCTTGAGTTGAGTCTCGCTCTGCTTGGCAGAGGCTGGCAGTGCGGTTGAATTTTTTTTTTCTTCTGACTCTGTGTAAGAGGAAAAGCTGCTGGAGGTTCTCAAAAGTAAGAGAGGAGGGCAGGCAGCCTTGCGGCCTGGTTAAAGCAGGAGGGGTGAGGAAATGGCCTGGAATACATGAGTGCTTGAGTTAAAATAAAGTCCTCTTATTGCTGAGTGCCCCTTGTTGAGAGAGGTTCGGAGGGCCCATCACAAGATGGCTGGAGTGTGGGGATTGGTGAAACCTGGACGGGAGAAGAAACTCAGGGTTGCAAGTCAAACCTGTCTAATGGTTTCTCAATTAAATCAGCAAATTGTAACACCTCTTCTCTAAAGCTGGTTGTAGCACCTCACCCTTGCCTGTGGGCATCTGTGCTTCTAGGATGCTTAGCGGATTTAATAGATACTTTGCTTGTATATAATGGGAGCTGTTTGAGCAGCTTGAGTATGAAAAGGTAGTAATTCTGTCTCTTCCCTGCACCCCTCAGGAATCTTTTCTACTCCCTTCTCTCCACTAACCTCTCCACCCTCTCCTGGTATCTGGCCCCTTGTCTCACACCTTTGCTCTTTGTGTTCTCTCTCAAATTGCAGGCTCTTTAAAAGGCATTCCCCACCCTGTTTGGAAAGCCCTTTGTAAATAGACCGCAGCTGGTTTTGCTAGGATGCAACCCTGGAACCACATGCAAAAAGTTTGGATCTTTATGGTCTGACTTTAGGATTCTCTTCTCTCACTCCCCACCCAGCTACCTTTGTGCCTTTTCTTTTGTTGCTAGAAGTAACTTCTGCTATAGCATTGTTCTCTGAAGGAGCTTCCTAGGTGACTCACTCAAATCCCTGACAAAGAGGTAGTTGTGTGTTGATAGAAATGGTAAGGGAAACCCTTTAAAAATCTAATAATGTTGGTTTTTAATGCAGCCTCTCCTTGATGTTCAGTGAATGGTTTCGGTGCTGTTTGGACAATAGTTGGTTACCAGTGAATGACAAGGGTGATCTGTTTTAAGCCTTGATCTTGCAATCTGATCTGTATGGATGGGCTCCTGAGTTCACTGGGTCTCTGCTGGGGTTCACATCCTCCAACACTTGGAAAGCAGGGACCACGGTGCAAGCGTTCAAAAACTACTAAGGGCAGTTCTTTCCTGGTGCCATCTGACATGGGAAAGGCAGCGCAGGCTGGTTGGCTGCCAGGGGAGGACATGCAGACAGACCGTGTAGCAGTAACAGCTCATGTACCTGTTGCAGGAAGAGCAGTATTATTGTGGCTGCAGATGAGAGCACAATCAGCTGGGGTCCATCTCCAACCTTCGGTGAACTGGTAAGGACTTGCTCAGAAACCCCAGCACCGCTGGCACAGTACCAGGGACATTAGATTACAAGCAGATTGCAAAGTTGTGGCTTTTATTTTTAACGCAGACTTGCTGTAAGCCTGTCGTCTCAAAGCGAATGGGAAGGGAGTGTTCGACTGACATTTGTTTCATTTTAATTTAGCTACAAGAGGGCTTTTTTTTTTATCTGTAGCATGTGTTAAATGCTAAGTCCAGAAAATGCAATGATCAGATTCCTGTTATGCAAGAGGGAAAAAAAGACCACCCAAACAAACCCTTGTGCACATCCATTGTGTGTGCGTGTGTGTACCTGCTCTCTGTATACTCTTCTCCCAAAGAAAATGGGTGAAATGCTCTTAGTCTGGAAGATGGGGAATTTGTGTGAGAGGCAAGTGTGGGTGCCCCTACTACAGATTTAATTGAGTGCTACGCCCAAGTCCGAGTGAGCTTCACAAAGAGCTGGAAAGGCTCAGCATTGCCTTCTGCCTCTGGGAGGTGAGTGACTTCATACTAATGCACCTTCTTGTGTCTAATTACTGAACATTTTATCTCACCACAAATGTTTGGGCTCACAGTTAACAGTCCATTTATTGTGGTCCTTAAGAGCTATTAGACCATGAGGTGGTGTGACACAGCCCACAGCAAAGAACTATCTCAGATAGGCACCATTTTCTCCTGGAAATCCTAGCATTTTACTCGGGGCGTCTGTAAATTTTATGTTGGTCTCAAACTGCTTTTTGATGCGACTCGTAGAATGATACTGCCCCAATCTGTCTCTCCTTAAATTGCTACAACATTTGATTACTCCTGTGAGCTTTTCCTGTGCTGCCTTGCTGTTTGCCTCCTCAAAGGCCCTAGTTGACTGTGGTGGAGCGGTAAGGAGTCTTGGTTCCTCACAGTCTGGCCCGCAGGCTGCTTGCAAATCCAACGGGTTTCTTTATGTGCACATTTTTATTGAATTTCCCATGCATTCAGGTGGAGCAGTGTATTGGCTTGTTCAGTGTCAAATGAATAGATGTGTAAGACTCTGCAAGACCAGTAACATTTGCAGAACTTCAGGATCCAGAAGATTTTTTTTATTCGTCTTCTGGACTTTAGGAATTTTTGTTCAGTTTTGTGGGGTTTTTTTAATTGCTCGTTCTTCCCAAGTCTCTGCTGGCCTTGCTTACAGGCCGTTCAGCCCGTGAGAGTCACTCACCTCCATGCCTTTCCTTTCCGCGGAGCTACACCAGAAGCCAGTGCAAATCAAAGGAGCGAGCAATAAATAACACAGTCCAGGTCCTTGGAACATGGCAAGTCTGTGATTTTTTTTTTTTTTTTTCCCCCCCCCCCCGGGGGCCCTTCAAAGAACACCCCCGCTTTTTTTTTTTATGGGGCAGA